TGTGTGCTCTATTGCGTTATTTTCGAAGCGTAGCTCTGTTTCTGTGAAAAATACGAACATGATTACCCTAAGGCCAGGTCGCAGAGAGCTCTTGGGGTCGACCGACTGCTCTATCCGACCCGAGCTTGCTGCAAAATGATTTCGAATATTTAAAATAGAAGCGAGGACTAATTTCACGACGGACTCAGGTCAAATTGAGCGACTGGGTGGTTTTTACTCTCGCCCTGTCTCGGTTGTCTGCGCCAGTGCTTGCCATAGAGATTTAGAGAAATCTTGGAGCGTGCAGTATAAGATACACCCTGGTTGAAAATTTGAAATAGTTACATGCAGAAGCTCATATTTCAGTCCAATTTACAGCTCAGCACTCTATTCGGAAAACTCAAAAAGTGGCGGCTCATTGCAGCACACTGCAAGTGAGACGACTGGCGGTAGCCATTGTCTCATGGACAGAGGAGGGGAAAAGGGAGACGGTTGAGGGGGAAGGTGAGCGATGAGATGGGAAGGAGAATAGAGGCAGGAAGAAAGAGGTCAAGTATGAAGGTCGAAGGCCAAAAACACACGCTCACACAAGGAAGAGAGGAGACAAAAGGAAAAGGGGAATGAGGATGAGAGGCTGAGGGAGCATGAAGAGAAAGATGAAGAGAAGTGGGGCAGGGAGGAGCAAGATCAGACGGAGGAGAGAGGAAAGAGGAGAGGAAGAGCACACAGAGGGAATATGAGACCAATGGGGGAGAAGGAGTGGAGGGGAATGAGGAGATGGGACGGGGTGGGGCCAGGTAAGACGTAAAACATCGCAGGTCATAGGCCTCGGTTGCATGGACACAAGATCACACCTCCCCGACCCATCAAAATGAAGAGCCATATGCAGCTGCCACCAAAAAGAAAAGGTCAAAGGCCATGAACATAGAATCACTCAAACGAGAGAGAAGGGGGAAGAGGGGAGGAAAGATGAGTAGGATGGGTAGCGGGAAGAGGAAGGTGGACAAGAGAGTCGAGGAAGAGGGGAGGGAGGAATAAGGAGACCGAGGAGATAGAAGGGGAGATGGCGAGGAGGAGCAGTCAAGGGTCCGAAGTAGAGATCAAAGGTCAAAGGCAACGAACATATAATCCTATGAAGGTGGGGAAGGGGGGGGGGGGCATAAACATTAAATCATGCGAGGAAATGAGGAGTGAAAGGTTAGAAAAGGCAACATAGGAGAGATGGGACGGGAATGGGGTGAGATTAAAGAAAAGTGAGTGAGAGGGGGGGGGGGGGGGCAGGTAGGAAGGAGATCGAGCATCAAGGGCCACGGATACAAGGACGCACTCCGCCGACCACTCAAAATGAAGGGCCCCAAGGGGGGAGGCACTCACTTTATCGAGTGACGTGTTAGCGAATGTCCACGTTTCACCGAATGACACTTTAGCGAAAATTTGGACGCAGCGAAGCGGCGTTTTCGGGTGGGCCAAGTGGGTTCACATTTTTGTAATGAGCCGCCGCAGACTCGCCGCGCGGCGGATGGGTTAACGCGCGCCCCCCGTTATTCGCTAAAACGTCGATTCGCTCAAATGCCGCTGTTTGCTAAAACGTCATTCGCTCATCTAATATGGACCCTAATTATAATGAAACGAGTATAATCGCACACACATTGTTAGCCCCCGTTCACTTCTCGCCAAAGAGCCGTCGACACGAGAACATATTTGAGCTTGAGGCTTCTAAGCTCGCTCTGCGTGGACCACTCTTTGCCTACATTTGTTATCTGGACACATCACAATGGCACAGCACAGTCGCATAGCTACGGTACTACCGTTTCAATGTTAACAGTTCACTATCGTTACCGATATTACGGTCGAGGTCATCCACTGATCACTGCAAGACGTTGCAAGATCGCCATCGTCCGCCATGATTGCACACTAGTACGGCATTACGGTTATGGCTGTACGGCTTATACCAATTTCCAATTTCTCCAATCGATGTAATGTCGTATAACTCTTAAAAAAAACTTATTTTAGTACTGTCAGATAAATTTTCACAGTTTATTCCTACTTGAAACTTCATGTTTAGTCGCTTACTGGTTTACGCACACTGTTGACAAGCCAAGACGCCAAGAGTGCAAGTAGCTCATGCCAAGCAAGGTCGAAGCCAGGTTGACCACGTGACCGTATGTCAACGGACCGCCAAGGCCCGTTTCATCGGACCGCTCTGCCGATCTCTCGGCGTGGAGGAAACGTAAACAAAGATATGTTTCATTTTCGTTGTGGTTACTACTTGTGCTGAACAATGGAGCGGGCGAAGCGTTCGCTATCGGAGCTATCCGATCGCCAAAAAAGACGTAGAGTAGCCGAAAGTGTTCGCAAGGAACTTGAAAGTTGCGGTACGAGCAGTGAGGAGTCGGTGGACACTGAGGAAGCATACCCTCTTTCACCTGGACAACAGGCCGTGGCAGCACATGCAAGTTTTTCCGGAGAGTTTGAATACCAACGAGCTTCCGAGTGTGAATCTGAGTCGAGTGATACGAGTGGTGCACGAAATGACCTAATCTCAGAACACCAGTGTCAAAATCCCCGCTGCGAATTCCCCGCGTTACCTCCCCCTCTCCAAAATCCCCGGCATTCAAAACCCCCTTTCCTTTATCCCCTTATCAGTTCCCCCGGGCCAGCGGTCGTTAGAAACCATTTGGAAAAGCGCTTTTATGGACACTTCATAAAGCTGAGCTGTGTTATGACCATCTTAGCCAGCCCCAAATTTTCTTTGACACACTGTGATCTTGCAGAATCTCTCTTGAGAGAGTTTGTTTCTGGAGCTGGTACCTTGTATGAGGGGGTTTATGTCTACAACATGCACTCCCCGATCCACCTGACAAGACGTTCGACGGTTCGGCCCTGTCAACACCTTCTCGGTCTTTCCCTTTGAGAACTTCCTTGGGAAGCTCAAGAAGTTGGTGAGGGGTCCTTCCTTGGCACTGCAGCAGGTTATCAAGAGGCACTCAGAAGTGAATCCCTCCACCGTGTCAAGTTCTGTGCAACAGAAGTGTGCTCTGCTCAAGCAACAACCTAAGCCGCCAAGCTTCAAGAAAACCCAGTGCAGTGAGCTTGTTTTAGACGGAGCACACTTCTTTCTGAAGGCGTCCGACAACTGTGTTCAACTGAGGTATGGCAACATTGCTGTTGTTAGGAACTTCATTGAGTGAGATGGGAACCGTAGCATCTGCGGACAGTTTTTTCCGAAATCTCGGCAACCTTTATATTTCAAAGCTGCCATCATCAGAGCTAGGAATTTTTAGAGCTACAGGGCTCTCCATGCAGTATTCAGTGGGGAGTGTGCAGGACATCAGGTGGAAGTGCGTCTGCTTGCAATATAACCAGGGACATGATTGTAAACCTGAGACTGGGGCAGAAAGGAGAACACAGCAGAAGGTAGAAAAAGAGGTGGCAATGTCTCAAACTCAGCTGCAAAGTTTATTTCGTACACGCCTTATATACCACAACTCTAACGCTGTCTCTACAAAAAAAACAATATGACAAGAGGACAATGAATTTTGGGTAAACCTTCTCTTATCTCCCTTGACCTCTCCTGCGAAACACTCACACAAAGGGTCACATTTAGCATAACCACCGCCATTCGGCGTTGGAGTTCTGGTATATAAGGCGTGTACGAAATAAACTTTGCAGCTGAGTTTGAGACGTTGCCTCCCCTTTTTCTACCTTCTGCTGTGTTCTCTTTTCTGCCCCAGTCTCAGGTTTACAATCATGTTCAACTTACACCAGCTCGCCTGCACTCTGACTATTTTTTCGATAACCAGGGCTATGCTGTTTTTTTTATCTACTTCACTTGCAAGTGTGATCTATGTTTGCAACTATTGTACATTGGTTGTGCTTAATTAGAAAACTGCATTTTTAGTGACTTATGACTGGTCTTTAAGGTAATAACGGCTTTATTTGTTGATTTCAGGAAATGTACTCTCTTGTCCATTTTTTGGCGGAAAATGATGTCGCAGTTGTCCCTACCTGTTGGGTGTGCAATGGCTGCACGGCATGGCCACCCTACAAATCAAATCGGTTGATGATGGCAATTAGAGAGCTTGAAGAGCCCTCGACTGACTGGGCCACATTCTCCTGTCAGGTGATGGCATCATGTTGTAAGTATAGCAGGGTGTCTAGCAACCAGGAGAACCGGGAATTGTCAGGGAAATTTTAATTACCGGGAAAAATCAGGGATATTGTCAAAAATCAAGCCCAGTCATGGAAAATGAGCCGGAAATGCCATTGAGTGCCCTGAGCAAAGAGTTCAGAACCTTGGGGCAGAGAAATAGGCAATAAATTCTGCTTAGAGCGGAGCGCGGACTCTGCTTACCCAATGTAGAGTGTGCTAGAGCACTGCACGAGCCAGAATTTCTAGACCCGGCCCGGTAGAGGCACGGCCCGGGTTTGGCCCGAGCCTAATAGAATATTTAATTTCCGGGCCCGGCCAGACTTGGCCTTGAAGAGCCACGGCTCGGGCCCGGCCCGGACCCGACAGAATTGTAGACAGAAGCTTGAGCCCAGCACGAGCCCGACAAAATTTTTGTTTTCTTTAATATAAACTTGAGCTGGCCCAATCCTCACAGATTATATACATGAGCCCGAAAAAGTTGGCAGGCTTTAACCTAAAAGCTGTCTAACCATAAAGCGAGCATATTTGATTTAATGAACAAAAGTTTAGGGTGAAAACAAGCTTGTAGTGGTTAAACATTTGACTGGTGTGCTCGGCTTTCTTGTTTCAGTGACATGTGAAGATGCAAAGTACAAAGAAAAAAAATTCGGAAGCGACGTCCGACCTAACATTGAATAATGAAGAGCGGGAGAAGAGAAAAAGGAAGAGACTGCAGCATACTCTTTCTTCATTTGAGAATGAGGACTTCTATGACCAAGATGTATGCACCTAAATTTCTGCAACACTTTTGTATTCGGGATTCATTTGCCCTCCTTTTTCATCAAGCTTGCCTCTTCTGCAGGAACAACGTAACACTCAGCCATTCCCTCAACTTCCAGAACGTGCACCAGAGCCCAAGCAAAAACGCACACGTGTATGTTTGCTTTTTGTTGCTGCAATTTCTTAACGCTTTCCAGCATTTAGATTTTTTATTTTATGTGATTAGCCTCAGCTTGGTTAGCCGCTATTGTGATAATGAATGGTATCCATATTGTTTATTGAGCACCTGCTGTTTTGGTGTTTCTTTTAGAGCGCAGCTCTTAGGCGCCCGTTTCCGGCTTGAGTGGTGTCGCCGTCGCCGTAACCGCGGCGACGTTTCGGCAAGGTGACGTTTCGGCACCATGCCAAATTGTCCTCGCGGGGTCACGTGACCCCCGTCAGGGGGGTCACGTGATCTCACGGTTTCGGCGACGCCGCTCAGAGGGAGGTGTGGCAGGGAGGAAGGGTATACCCTTTCCTCGGGACCCTTCCCTCCTCCTCTAGAGCTGCACTCTAATTTAGCGTTACAGGGAGTTGTAAACAGCTTTCATTTTTTTTTATCTAGTCATTTTTAATTTACAAAGCTGCTAGTTGTGGTATGCTTCCTCGCATAAGAACAGTTTAGCCTAAGGGATGGTGAAGTTGATATTTTTAATTTGACGGTGCATATGTTTGCTTTGTATTGCTGCAACCTCATGTTTGCATAATTCTGCTGTACTAGTCATTTTTATTTTACAATTTAATTCATTTTGTTTATTTATCTATGCTTTCTGGTCAAAGGATACATTAGAATGCTTGCTGTTTGTGCACTCTAACCCTAGCACTTTTTATGAACCTGTCCTCTGCTTTATATGTGGAATGGTTTGGGCAGCGTTAGGATTGACCACTTCTTAAAGAAAGGTGGTACATTTTGTTTTACACCACCGAGCACTCTTTGGTGTAAGGTACATTACCATATAGCTGAATGACACAATCAGCTATACACGTTTGCAAGCAGTCATGTTTCCAAAAGTAGTCTAGCCACCATGGGTAGGGAAACGTGCTCTCAGGGTACCAATCTGTCAATTAGCTTAGTGACGCTTTAGCAAGCCTTCATAATCGGATTATCTGGGGTGCACCCGAGCTGGAAGATGGCAGCGCGCAAGGGCCCCCCATTTTGCAGACTCTGTCTCATTTTTGTTAGTGAGAGAGAACAAAGGCTTCTTCAGTATCATCTAGGAAAACCACATGTCCAGTATTATCTCCATTTAAATCTTTATGAAATGGATCAGCAAACTGCTAACCCTAGCTGACAATGTAGGCGCAAACGACAGCGCAGTTGCTACTACGGCTTCAGTGCACCGAATATCAATTTACTATGTCAGGTGCATTGTTACGTTTTCTTTGTTTTTTCCACGCACAGTCAGTCCTTGACTTGAGCAATGTCTTCTCCAAAAGTTGGTTCAGCGGTGTCCACATGATTGGCACAGACCTGGATGTGCACGTTTCTCATGGTTCACCTCTGTTAAATAATAATGGCATTGTTTGCACAATGTTCACATACTCAATGGCTTATTTATGTACTATTTAATAGACCTCGCTGCATACCAATGTTCCTGAGATATTTATTCCTTTGAGAAAACTTGGCTTTAGCGTAGGTTGCAGTGGTGCAGATGTCGTCCGACACGGAGCAGACAACACTCAGGCCCGTCTGTTTGCGCCGTCCTCGCAGGGGTAGCACATCATCATTTGTACCATGGGATTGGTCATGTCTCCTCCGTCTCTGCCATCGTTGCCTGTAGAAGCCGATGTTTCGGGTTTTATTTGGGTTATGTTTAAAGCAAAATTGCATAGGAAATATTCCACCAATGCATGAAATAAAATAGTTCTTTTTATATTTCTTCTTAAATTCATTTTTTATTTTTATTTGAAGTCTTATAATTCCAAAAGTTTTGGAATTAAGCAGAGTTGCCTTTTAACAACAAATGGCTATAGCTAAACAGGGCACACAAGTGAGGAGCTTTTTTTTCTAAAAAGGCGAAATCCACATGAAGCAAAACAGATAAATTGGTATGTTTGCTTATCAGTATAGCTTTGAGCCATGTGCCGCAGCCACCTCTGCTGTGGTTTTTATAGCGTACTCTGACCGATTTCACTGTAGTATACATAATTAAACAGCGCACAAGGAGAGGGACAGAAAAGGAAGACAGAACAGGCAAGCGCTGACTCGCAACTGACGATTTACTATGAAAAGGACGCTCCAAAAAAAAAACGCTCCAAAAAAGAAATTCTTAATTACCAATCTGCCCATTCAAAATTAATAAAAAAGAGGGATAGCCAGTTCGTGCATGTATTCAGCTTTGAAAAAATCCTGTCACCACACCATCGAACAGAGTTTCAGCACTCAAGTAAACAAACTCTCAAGATCCGGCTTTCCATCAGCCATGTTAAGTGAAGTTGCGGGCACTCTGATACAAACCTGTAAAGGATCGACCAAAAGAAAAAAGAGCAAAGACCTTACCAATATCCGACCACTAGTTATACCATACATCCACAAGACGTCGCACAACTTAAAAAATGTTGCCAATAGATACAACGTGCCCATGGTGTTTTCAGCCCCAAACAAACTGGGAAGAATTTGCACGCTTGTGGACAAGAACAATGACAGCAGGGCTTGCTGCATGAAAAACCACAAGGTGCACTTTGTCTCTTGCATTCTACAAGTGGTTTACCATCTTCCTCTGTCCTGCGGGAAAACCTATGTCGGACAGACTGGGCGTTGCCTCAACGACCGCTTGAGGGAACATAAACAGTCTCTTCAAACCACCACTGGAAGCCACCTAGCCATCCACTGCAGAACCTGTGGATGTGATCCAGATTTTTGTGCAACAACTGTTCTAGCTTCCCATAAAGAAAAAACAACAAGAGAAATAGTGGAAGCCTTTTGGATAAGAAAGCTCGAATCCAAATGTGTGAGCCAGCCATCATTAACACTACAAGACAGCGAGTATGAGTTTATGGGGGCAGCTGCGCACAAATAGGTGTATGGTCAAGGCTTCGGAGTGCCGGCACTGGACATGCCTAGGACTTTGAGAGATTGATTTTCATTTTATTTTGTTTTCCTTTTCAGCCATAATTATTTTAGGTGTAATTTTATTTAATTTATTAGCTTTTTCACATCTTTCTCTTTTCCGATATATGTTCATGTGTGTAGTTTTCTTCCTTCTCCTTTTCATAGTAAATCGTCAGTTGCGAGTCAGCGCTTGCCTGTTCTGTCTTCCTTTTCTGTCCCTCTCCTTGTGCGCTGTTTAATTATGTATAGCAACCACCAACTAGCCCAAGTATCCACCATTTTGAAGTTCATCACTGTAGTAGCATTTGAGATCGATGGGCCAACGAATGTAGTTTGAATTTATAGAAAAATTTGCTTGGTTTCAGTTTTCTGGATTTGACTCTTTTAGATGAAAGGAAACTGTGTCCTGGTGAAGCATGTGACAGCAGCCCACATAAGCTCACTACAGTGGAGTTTTGTCCCATGCCTCGCTCCCGAGCTATCTGGCTCATTGACAGGGTGTCTAGCACCTTGGAAAAGCTGGAATTGTCAGGAAATTTCGGATCATCTGGAAAAGTCAGGGAATTGTCAGGGAGATAATCAAAAAGTTAGCCAAATCAGGGAAAATGGCCAGGGCGAGTAATGCGGTGGTGTGCGACGAAGCCAGGAGAGTCGTGCATTGACGTGGCTGTGCTAAATAACATTGCCCGAAATTTTGTAAGTCTTTGACTTCTTGAGCAACATAAAGACCGATTTCAATAAATTGTTTTAAATTGTGAGTGGTGTTCACTTATGAGGTGTTTAGAAGCAGTTCGTACCACATCTCCAAACTTCTGTAATGGACAGGAAATTTAAAACCTGGAAAAGCTGGGGAACTTAAAAGGAGGAATTTGCTAGACACCCTGGCTGATTTCATAGTTACCGATGTCTGCCAAGTTATGCTGAAGTAGGGCATGAAATTGTCGATATTTCACTGTGGTAGCTGACGTTGTGTTGTAATTATATACTTTTGAAACAGGAGCTGTGCGCACCTGCTTTAAACAGAAGGCAGAAAACAATGAGCCAGCCATCATCGTGCAGGAAGCCGACGCCAAATGGGCTGCTGCTGAATCGGTCAGGCGTGCACCAGCTAGGACCAAGAAAATGGTAATATGATATTTCTAATTTTGCTTAAACTCCCGAAAAATACTTTTTCATCCTAAAACAAGCCCAGATTTCAAACAAAGGCATTAGTCTACTTTACATAAAGACATTTTTAAGTATTAAGAAATTTGTTTAGCCAATGAAAGAACACCATGTTATGACATTGTCTGCAATGAGCTTGACATTGTAGAAAATATGAGGCTCATTGACATTGCCCCTGGGTCCGGACAGTTCATCAAACGCCGTTTCATTGAACATTGTTTCATCGAAGCTGTTTCATTGAACGCAGTTTTATCGAACGCTGTTTCATTGAACGCCATTTCATCGAAGTTGTTTCATTGAACGTAGCCTATTTGAGCAGTAGAGATATTTTTCTTTTTAGTGCCGGGAGGATAGCAGTGTTTTAATATTTATTGTAACTTATAAACTTATATATATATAAAAAGAAGGAACCTTTTTTTGTCACCTTCTATTCTTTTTTTTTTTAGTAAATGATGACTTCTGTTAATGAGGCCAATAAGACACGGTAACACTAACGACACTTTTAAAAGCTGTGATCATCAGGTGCAGTGATGAATGCACGTCCATTCAGAAGCGTATATATATCTTCGTCCTTGAAGAGACCTATTCTGCTTCAAGACGAAGCCGTCCTTGAGGCAGTGATCTGTCTCCGTGGCCCATGATACGGGGAAAAGAAAAGACGTGTCTCCTCTCTTTGTTAATTTATTATAACCGACAGAACCGTGGACCTGCCGGATATTCGACATACAGTAATATACTGAATGTCAAAGATCCGACAGGTCCACGGTTCTGTCGGTTACAAAAAATTGACGAAGAGGGCAGGCACGTCTTTTTAAGAACATCTATGTTCTTAAAAAGAAAGCTATTCTCTTAGGATAAAATGAAAACAAAGTTAAATCTACAAATACAAAATAAAAAAGGCGCTGCGGAAATCAGCTGTTTCCCTCTTAAGAAAGTGCCTTTCACGCATGAATAAATAGAAGGTTGAAGTGGGAAAAAGTGAATGGCCGAGAACAGCCGCCTACCTTGCCAGAAAAGAATAAGTCGCGTATCCACTGTCTTCTGTGGGTAGGTCACACTTTGCGGTAAAAGTCTAAACTGGATGAAAAGAATGGCTTGTGCATGCAAAGAAACTGTGGTGAAACTGCTAGGACAGATGTAGGCATTTCTTTTTTTATCTTGATGACACTCTCTGCCCTGAGATAGGCACCCATTTTCTGAATGCAACCAACTTTTTTGTGTTATTTTTTTGCAGGAGCAGTGTGCCTCTTCTCAGGAGTGACTGAGGGGCTGCCACAAGGGGAGAAGGCAAGCATGTTTCTGATTACAAGGATGGACAGTTGGGCTGGGCTAATTGGTAAGAATTCATGTTGAAAAACGGTGCGAAAACCAGACAAAGGAAAAAGAACACACAGTGCCTTGTACTGTGTGTTTTCTTATCCGTGCATTTTGCGCTGTTTTTCAGCATGTTTCTGCCTTGATTTTTCTGTTAGTTTTAAATGTTAGTAGTTGGTTACTTTGATCCCAGTTGGAAGCATGGAATTGGTTAACCGTGCTAAATGCATAGAATTGAAAAAAACAAATTCATGCTACCTAAATCATTTAAAATGCTTTTTTTTCTAATGATGTCTTTATCTTTTTTTACAGCCATCCCATGAGTAGAGTCCCTGTTGTTTTAATTTTTTGTGTCAATTTGTAATATGCATATGTTACCTTTAATTTCTATTCATGCATACATTTTAGCCCCAACTAGTGGTTTCTTCTATTTAATTTATGTACACATTAGTGTGGTATTTTTAGAACATTTAAAATTTATGTTTTTTTTTCTAGTCATTTTTGGTTTATTTCCTCCGTTATTTATTTATATGTCCTAGCCCAAGATCGGGTGTAATTTGAGATATATTTTGAATTTTATTTTAAGCTACTTGCTTTATGTTGCTGGGAGTTTTAATATTTTACATTTTTATTTTTATGCAGTTCAGCCTTGTAATTTAGTGTGTTCTTTACAATTTTGTAGATCTAATAGCTTGTAAGAAACAGAAGAACTCTCTGGTACTTGTAATGAATTGGTTTCGTTTTTGAAATAAATTTATTCCAATAACTTCTTGTTTTCTTCCGGAGTCCTGCTTCTAGGATTTCAAAATGCTGATTCATTAATGGCCTGTAATGCACATTCATTTACTCATATCAGGCACCAGCTCAAAAAATGACTTCATGACAACCATAAATGCAGTTTCCTGGCAGCGCTTGTCAATGTATTTTCGGATAACATTGTTCAGTAATGTCCAAGTAACACATGCAGTAATATGTGGCCAGTGCCAGCATATTGTAAAAATGTTTACTGAAAGTTAACAGAATAAAAGCACTGAGGAAAAACAGATGACCGCTCTTTCATTTAGTTACGACGCTCGTTTTTTGGAAGCAAAGACTCGCGCACAGGTCAAGATTAACTGCAAAAGGAAGGCTTGATCAAAGGAACTTTAGGGAGATAAGGGATGAGTCAGTAACACTCCACCTTCGGTATCTAGTTGATCTCGACCTGTATGCGACTCTTTGCTCCTCAAAAAATAAACGTTGTTGCAAAATGAAAGAGTGGTCGTTTGTGTATGTTCTTCACATTTTTATTCCTTTACTTTTAAGTAAGCCGTAATGTCAGTGCAACATTTTGGTGTAACATTACTGGATGGTAGAATTCGGGGCCATTAACGACAACTAGCAACGTTAGCGACGACGTCCGAGTAACATCACTGATCTAGCATCCAGGTAACATAGAGAGCTATGTTACTGCAACATTTTGATGTGACGTTACTGGAAGGTAGAACTGGTGGCCATTAGCAACGTTTGGCAACGTTATCTAACAACGTTCCAGTAACATTATTTGGGTAATCTCCAGGTAACGTATGCAGTTACGTTACTGTAACATTGTGGTGTAACGTTACTGGAGTGTAGAATCCGCGGTCGTTAGCAGCGTTCGGCAACGTTACCTGACAACATTCCAGTAACGTTGTAGCTACATTTTGTGCTACTTGGGTAGCCGATGTCGGACGTTTGAAATGTGTTTTTCTCCGTTCTTCAACACTACACAAAAAGATAAAAACTTAGCGAAGGTGCCGTAAGTAGTGCAGGCCCAATCAGGTTAGCTTGTACTACCCAAAATGAGGGCGCAACAATTTGTTCAGAGCTTGACCACAGGAGGTCTAGGCGTCGAGAAAGCGAGAGAAAGGAGGAGACGAAAGCACGCGGAGACGTCAGATTGCCGAGCTCTGGTTCGAACGATTGATGGGTATACACCAAAAGCTAGCTGCATTTGTCTCCACCGAGCTGATCGAACGCGTTAGAACGCGGAACGACAGCGTCAGGCGTTCTGCGTTCAGGCTTTCGCGTTCAAACGCGTTCGAAGAGTCTAAGCAGACTCTCGTCTCCTCCTCTCCCTCACTTTCTCGACACAACAGCCTCGTATGAACACCTCCTAGATAACAAGGCCGTAGTGCTGAATGAGATGGCGTCATCAGAGAAGGCCAACGCTCAGCACAGATTGCACTCGACGACTGCCTCAACGTTCGGCTCGAACCTGACTGGAAGCCGAGTGCTGACGCAATACTCGTTTCCACTCTCTGTCCAGCGTTGGGCTTCTCTGATGACGCCATCTCATTCGTCAGTACGGCTTTGTTATATAAGAGGCGTCGTTCGTACCGTCCAGCTGTAGTCCCTGTGACGTATTTGGTTGGGTGCCACCAGGACGCTGCAGCTCACCCTTTGCGGCGGGCAAGCGGCAGAGCGGCTGCCCCTCGGCGCAGGCATGCAACACCGCGACTGGAGGAGGTCGATGGGCGGTCGACGTGGCCCCGGGGTGCCGTGTGTCGCTAATCAGGCGAAGAGCACCCAAGGCCATTAATTGGGTCCAGATCCCGCCACCCTTTTGACTGGAGCAGGTCTCCGTTCGAGGCTTCCAATAAATACGACCGGAGTACAGCCGTGTAGTGCGCCCTTCTTTTATTTCTTCGCTTTCCTGTCTTTTTACGGTTCTTGTTCCTTCGCCTACAGTTTCTTGTTTACCTCGTCCATCGATAAACAGATCAATGAGGCCGTGAAGTGGGAACGAAAATAGCTTTGTCGTAATGAGAACGCTCCAACGAAGCGCAAGTGTTACAAAGACAACTGGATCAATAAACGTTCCTTTACGTAATCATACTGCTCTTCGCTTCTACTCGCTCGCGCCATCATTTCTGTGGATAAAGTACGGTTGAGATACGTGCAACAACAATAACATGAGGCCTCACAAATGAATGAAGAGGTATCGTGTTCTGGCTTTATAATAAAACCAGACAACGAGTCTCTAACTGTAACTTCGCTACCCCTTTCTGAAAGTCATTGTAGCTGAAATGAATTACTTTTGGAAAGTAACTTACCCAAGGCTAGTTTTATTTTAAATCGCGTACGCTTATTCTCAGCCTAAGATGAACTAAAAGCGGAAGTTAAGGGGACGCCAGTCCAGCCAGGAGCCAGTTATGAACCAAGTGGTACACTGCTCCGACGTTTGTATCAGCGCAAGAGGATACGCGTTGATACGAGAAGAGAACCGCTTCTTCGCCTCACCGGAACATTGGATGCGAAAGTATTATTTTAAGAACGCCGAACGTGTGCTAAGCATGTCGGATGATTAGCCGGGTTCTTGCGGTACCAAAGACAAGTTCACGAGGGACTGGGGGGCGTTGAAATTCTTTGAAAACAGTTCGAACCGCTGTGCGAGGTGTGTTCACAATACATGGCTAGTGCGCCGCCAAAAGCATCGCTGTGATCGGCCCTCCACGGTTGTGCAGAGACCACCTGAACATCGCGCAGGAGTCGGAACGTCACAAAATTGTTTCGCGTGATATTCGAGAACAGAGCGTATGTATTGCAAGCAAACCGGGCATACGGTTTCGTTAATATCATCCATATGTTGACTCCTTGAGAGGTGGGCGCCAATTGTGGAGACGAAGTTGACAAGAGCGTCAACCACCGAAGTTCTTAGACCCGTGAGTAGTTTATCTTAGAAGGAGCGCTGTAGCACTATTTCTGATTTCATCGACGGTAATAAACTTTGACTGCGTTTGTTTCCTGACGGCTCTAAACTTTCATCACCACGAATATACGGACCATCGAACATGTTTTTCGTAACTAAAAGGCCTCAAGGTACACCTGAGCACTTCTTATGAGTTGTGAATGCGAAAGCATGCACACCGCTTTTGCGCTCCCTTCTTTCTTCTGCGGCGTACTTCCGTCGACGGTCGAGCGCGCGCGCTGTCCTCGGCTCGCTGACCTTGAGCGTGGAGCGGTGGAGCCGCTGCCTCGCGGACACGCAGTGCCATGGGGTGGCGGTCGTTGAAACTGACGCGCAGCGGCCAATGGGAGCCTGGTCGACGCGCGCCAGCCAATGGGACAGAAGCCGAAATCCATCAGTTTTACTCCGGTACTCTGGAATCGGGGAAACTAGGTGCCGTTGGGATAGGCCTTTTGCGTGGTTTCATAGCTGGGAGGTGGCTTCACTTGGAGGAAGGATTTAAGGTGCCGTTTGGCGCAACTTCAAAGCTGATGACGTCGGCTCGCTCCATGGGACAGTTATTGCTTTCGCATTAATAAGCAGCCCGTTCGCAGGAATAAATACGTTTGAACAACCACCGAAATAGTGAGTCTTGGCATGGCCACCGTAATCGCCGGAGCTTGTGCGCCAAGAACCTCAAAAGCCACGATCTTGGTCGTGAAATCACGAGGGCCGCAGTCCTACTCCTGATACAAAACCTGCCGACACCGTCAGAAGCGTCTCGCGTCCATGTATCCCACGGGTCATACAAATAGTCTTTCAACACCTTCGAGTCACGCATACGTATGAAGCGCTTTCAACGTGCGTGAGGCACGTCCGCAGACACATCGTGTCTTCAGCGAGGATCTTTTGTATGGCACCGAAACCGTTGCCAACAATCCCAGCGTGACAGAAACGCGATCCGCCCGAAGCAGGCGGAGAACCCGAGGAGCGCGCTTCCGAGGCCATGGGTTGGTACGGGGGGGCCTCTCGTGCAAGCGGCTCGCGGCGCACGGGGGCGTGGTCGATGGAATCGTTCCGACAACGACGCCGCGCGCCACCCGTTGCCGGAGGCGCACTCGGCGCGATGCCCCGGCCACAAATGACGGCTCCTCGTTTGCCCGTCCCGCGACGTCGTCGAAAGCAAAAACGAAGGGCCGGAACGCCGGCCAAAGTTTGCCCCCGCAGCAAACTCGGGCGCCCGCGCACGGGCGCCCGCGTCGTACGCCTTTGTTGCCCGATTGATT